TGCTGTCAAACGATTAAAATATTTAATCGCGATTAATCGCATTAATGTCATAGTTAACTCACGATTAATCGCAATTAATTTTTATCTATTCTATATGTCTCTTGATTTCTTTTTGTCCCATTATTTTTTCTCATTTTAATGCTCTTATCAACTTGGAAAAGTGGATCGGCTTTGTGCAAATGTTGGTAACACTTTATTTCGATAGTCCACTTTAGACATTCTACTAACTATAAGTAACTTTTCAACTACATGTCAACTAACTATCATTAGAGTATTAGTAGACTGTCCGCTTGATATCTGCTAGCACTTTATTTTGTTGGTCCCCCAACAGACATTCAACTGACTAGTAATTGGCGACTACAAGTAAACTTATTCTACTAACCCAAAGCCTAACACCTAACCATAACCAGTCTACTGACACTCTACTATAATATACGGAAACTCTAATGAGAGTTAGTTGACATGTAGTTGAAAAGTTACTTATAATTATTAGAACGTCTAAAGTGACTATCGAAATAAAGTGTAACCTAAATGTTTTTACAAACGAGTGTGTGCGGCGTGCCTGTTGTTTTGTTTCCAATCTAGCTAGATCCGCTTGCGCTTTGGTCAACGAAGCAAGAAAACGTCCTGGCGCGGCGCAAGCCATTGAAATGAATGGGTTTCAGAGCTCAGCGCGAGGATGTTGCAAAAGCATATGAAAGAAAACTACAAAGTTTGCTAGGCCAAAAAGACAGTTAATCGCGCGATAAAAAAAAATTACGCCGTTAAACTGGGTTTGCGCTAACACCGTTAATAACACGTTTAACTGACAGCTCTATTTTATTGTGATGTAAAAGAAATGTTTAAGTGTCTTTAACTACAGTTTTGCAAACTCTTCTCATTATAAATCTTGTTAAATGCTGTAATCTGTCCACATAACATCATAACTGGTGTCCACTGCGTTTCCAAAAGCACTGCGTTTACATGTGTTGACTACTGTGTATTATCATTTATATTTCAGTTCAGTTGATAAAGCACAATGTTAGAGATATCTTACGTTGCTTTGAGACGTGTAATCATATGTTGAGTTCATTATGAAACTGGTGGGATAGATTAAACTGAAGGGCAACACTGATTCACACATGAAGTATTCAGGCGGTGTAGCTCCACATTTCTGCTTTCAGGAGAAGTTCAGCTTTCAGAGGCATCTTTAACCTAACATTAAAGCAGCGTAACATTCATAATGCCAAACGATTCTTCTGATTTATGACTGACAGCCACAGTCAAACCAAACATTACTCAGACCCCAGATATCATGTTCCACTAGTTTTATTTATTTATTTATTTAGTACAGGGACAGTGCATATTCATAAACATTTCTGTCAATATGCCAGAATTAGCCTAAAGGCTATTTTTCATCTGCAGTCCCTAGACAGTTGGTAAGAGTCACCCTAAAAAAAGAAAAAAGATTACATAGTACATAGCACTAAAAAAATAAAAAATAAAAAAATTAAAATACATTTAGTAATAATAATAACTCTAAACACATCAAACAACAATCGGACAATCACGTAAAAAACATGATCAACACATAAGGAAAAATGTCAACCGTGTGCATCAAGAGCATGTGTAGAAATAGGTTAGAGATCTGATGATCAATAAGCCATTTCCTTAACTGAATTTTAAATGAACTATACGTGTTTATAGTGTGATCAGGACAGAAAATAAAGTAAACTGGGACACATTACACACAAATCTTCTTCATGCAGTGACTACCGGTAAAATTTATACAAATGTGGGACCAATAATGACCTCCACTTTGAGCTGATCATGTTTGAAGCACACCAGTCTTTGGCTTTTGTTTCGTAGTTTTTGAGGCCATTGTTCTGATGTTGAGTGTGTGTTGTTGGCGTGAGCATGTGAACATCAGTGTGGTCCTCTGGATCCTCGTTGTGAATGTTGTTGTGTCTAGACGTGAGCGCGGTGGGACGCATGCATAATTCAGAGGAGTTCCCACAAGGACACAGTTCTGTCTTATAAAGCTCCTTCTTAAAGAGCTGCAGTATGAGTATCTAGCAGGATTACAGAGAGGCTCAGGACACACACACACACACACACAGAGTACCCGTGCGTCACTCGTGTGTGAATCGAGGCGTGCGGCAGGAGGCAGAGCATGCATTCATATTTAATCTCCAGCATCATTAATAGAGACCCTCGGCCCGGCGCTGTGTGTGTGTGTGAGCTAACTGAGACTGAAGCAATTAGCAGCACCTCTCGTTTGCCCTAATGCCATCATTAGGAGTGACGGATAACCTTTACAGCTGAATGAAAGACCTGACGCACCAACAGCTCCTCTCTTTAACCCTGTGGGCTCTATCTTGCACCCGGCGCAAATGACTTTATACACTGACGCACTTATCATTCCTATTTTGCACCCGCGGAAAGTGGGCTTTTCGGTAAACTAGGGAATGAACTTGCGCTCCCTGACGGTTCAGCGCCAAAAGGAGGCGTGCTATTCTGCATTTCCATAAAAGAATGGGCTATATGCACGCATAAGTTCCGCATTTGACGCAAGGATGCTCGTCAGTTTCCGGTTGTGTAGATTAAAGCGGAGGAGAACCGAGGAAAACGGGATTATGGCAGGGTCTTCAAAATTTACTGTCCTCCAGTCTTTGAAACGAAACGTACATACGTTTAGATGTAATTTTATATTTAGTTATGTTTATTTAATATAATTTTAAAAAGAAGCATAAACACAACGAGGGGTGTCTGTTTTATCTGTTTTTGTGACTAACGTTTCTTTAGTATAACCATGGAGTATAAAATTCAATATAAATTCTCGGTATTGCATTGGACTCTATGATCGGCGGAAGTAGGGGTGTAACGATTCAGTTCTTTTTGAACACTTTCATCTAATTTGAACAAAACCGTGATAATATTGATAATCACGATAATTTTGGACACTATAATCGTGATATCAAATTTTCATACCGTCCCATCCCTAGGCGTGTGTTTGACGTTGGCGTGTTTGGTGCTGGTGTGTGTTTGACGTTGACTTTGCTGTGTGTTTGACGTTGGCGTGTGTTTGACGTTGGCGTGTGTTTGACGTTGGCGTGTGTTTGACGTTGGTGTGTGTTTGACGTTGGCGTGTGTTTGACGTTGACGTTGGCGTGGGTTTGAAGTTGGCGTGTTTGACGTTGGCGTGTGTTTGGCATGTGTTTGACGTTGGCGTGTGTTTGACGTTGATGTGTGTTTGACGTTGGCGTGTGTTTGACGTTGATGTTGGCGTGTGTTTGGCGTTGCCGTTTGTTTGACCTTTACATTGGCGTGTGTTTGATGTTGACGTTGGCGTGTGTTTGACGTTGATGTTGGCGTGTGTTTGACGTTGATGTTGGCGTGTGTTTGACCTTTACATTGGCGTGTGTTTGATGTTGACGTTGGCGTGTGTGTGGTGTTTGACGTTGGCATGTGTTTGACGTTGGCGTGTGTTTGGCGTTGCCGTGTGTTTGACGTTGACGTGTGTTTGACGTTGAAGTTGGCGTGTTTGAAGTTGGCGTGTGTTTGGCGCTGGTGTGTTTGACGTTGATTTTGCCGTGTGTTTGGCATGTGTTTGACGTTGGCGTGTGTTTGACGTTGGCGTGTGTTTGACGTTGATGTTGGCGTGTGTTTGGCGTTGCCGTGTGTTTGACCTTTACATTGGCGTGTGTTTGATGTTGACGTTGGCGTGTGTTTGACGTTGATGTTGGCGTGTGTTTGACCTTTACATTGGGGTGTGTTTGATGTTGACGTTGGGGTGTGTGTGGTGTTTGACGTTGGCGTGTGTTTGACGTTGGCGTGTGTTTGGCGTTGCCGTGTGTTTGACGTTGACGTTGGCGTGTGTGTGATGTTGGCGTGTGTTTGACGTTGACGTTGGCGTGTGTGTGGTGTTTGACGTTGACGTTGGCGTGTTTGTGATGTTGGCGTGTGTTTGACGTTGACGTTGGCGCGTGTTTGACGTTGACGTTGGCGTGTGTTTGACGTTGACGTGTGTTTGACGTTGCCATGTGTTTGACGTTGGCGTGTGTTTGACGTTGACGTTGGCGTGTGTTTGACGTTGACGTGTGTTTGACGTTGCCGTGTGTTTGACGTTGGCGTGTGTTTGACGTTGGCGTGTGTTTGACGTTGGCGTGTGTTTGACGCTGACGTGTGTGTGATGTTGCCGTGTGTTTGACGTTGGCGTGTGTTTGACGTTGGCGTGTGTTTGACGTTGGCGCGTGTTTGACGTTGGCGTGTGTGTGACGTTGGCGTGTGTTTGACGTTGGCGTGTGTTTGACGTTGACGTGTGTTTGGCGTTGGAGTGTGTGTGACGTTGGCGTGTGTTTGACGTTGGCGTGTGTTTGACGTTGGCGTGTGTTTGACGCTGACGTGTGTGTGATGTTGGCGTGTGTTTGACGTTGGCGTGTGTGTGATGTTGGCGCGTGTTTGACGTTGGCGTGTGTGTGACGTTGGCGTGTGTTTGACGTTGGCGTGTGTGTGACGTTGCGTGTGTTTGACGTTGGCGTGTGTGTGACGTTGGCGTGTGTGTGACATTGGCGTGTGTTTGACGTTGGCGTGTGTGTGACATTGGCGTGTGTTTGACGTTGGCGTGTGTGTGACGTTGGCGTGTGTTTGACGTTGGCGTGTGTGTGACGTTGGCGTGTGTTTGACGTTGCCGTGTGTGTGACGTTGGCGTGTGTGTGACATTGGCGTGTGTTTGACGTTGGCGTGTGTGTGACGTTGGCGTGTGTTTGACGTTGGCGTGTGTGTGACGTTGGCGTGTGTGTGACATTGGCGTGTGTTTGACGTTGGCGTGTGTGTGACGTTGGCGTGTGTTTGACGTTGGCGTGTGTGTGACGTTGGCGTGTGTTTGACGTTGCCGTGTGTTTGACGTTGGCGCTTGTTTCCTCACTCGTGTCCTCAGTCCTACTGTCAGGTTTGCTCATGATCTGCATTATAAATGATGTCCTCCTCAACCGTTCTCACTTCCTGTCTCGTGTGAACAGCTTCCTGTTGACCTCAGCAAGATGCACCTGACGGACCACCCCCCCCAGCAGATGCATATGCCTCCCAGCCAATCAGGATGCAGCATCGCCAGTGACTCGGGGAGCAGCAGCCTATCAGACATCTACCAGGTGCTTCTCTCCCTCTCCTCACTCTGAGTCCAGAGACGAGAGTGTGTACGCTACAAGTGATAACACACACTTTTATATTTCAGAAAACTCAATAGGGGTTTGGAAGCACAAATCATTTTCCATTTCTGACCGGTAAAAGTAATCCATACGGATATCTTTGGAATACATATTTCAGCACACTAGATTTGGGACGTATTCAAACATTCATTAAATAATGACGACATTACTAACAGGTTAACTAAAAATATAATGAGTATGTAAAACAGTGTATATAATACACCAAATTACACTCTTCAACCGTTTCTATCTCTAACTTGTATATTTGGCACAAATGTGAATCCCCAACATTAATCTTATTCTTAAAAATGCTACTGTTGGAATATCTCGAATTGCACTCTTTACATTTAGAGTCGATGGGAAAGTGCTCCTAAATGTAAATTCGCTCACTTCTAAGTTTGGAAGAGTTTTTCTGCATGAACAACGTTTTTTAATGATGACTCAAACGAATCACTGAATCTGTGTTTTGAGTTCTGCTTCCTCTCGGACTTCTCTCCTCTTCTATTGTTAGATTGACGGTCATAGATCATTTGTTGTAAAGTGTGTCCTTGGGTGAGTAGAACAAATAGTGTATGTAAAGGGTTATACAGAATAAAGATTTAATACAGTGTTTCTTCAGAAGGCTGTAAAATGTAAAACAGAAAATGTCTGTCATGCTTTTGAGAAGCTGTCAGTATGACATGAGTACAAGAACAGCTTCTTATGGAGATCTCATGCTCTCTCACACACACTCACTCAAACACACGCACACAAACATATAATTCTGCGACGTGTTCCCAGACGCCATAAAATAAACTATCTACTTGTTTCCGAATTTAAGATCCTTCTAAAGTCTGAACAGAAATTAAACGATTTTTTAAACTGGATATGAAGAGTTCAGATGCAAAAGCCTCTAAGTGCCATTTGAAATTTTCTTCTAGAATGATCATTTTTATCAAGCTTGTATATTTAAGTTCAGTGATTTCACTTAAATGGCAATGATAATTACCTATTAATTGTTATTTAAGTGAAATTAATGAACTTAAATATACAAGCTTGATAAAAATCATCATTAAAGAAGAAAATTTCAAATGGCATTTAGAGGCTTTTACGTCTTTAATCTGTATACTGTGTCAGTGTAGACAGCATCAGTCATTATAATCTATTATAATATTACAACTGTAAACGTTTCCGTGAAATAAAATTAGTCATAACGTGAAGTAGAATTTTGGCCACACCCCTAATAGCCTGTGTTAGCAGCTCCGCTAGCATCTGTATGGCGTGAGGAGCTGTAGAAGTAAAGCGTGACGTGTTTCTCCACAGGCTACGGAGAGTGAGATGGGAGACGTGGATCTGTCGGGTCTCCCCGAAGCCCCAGTGGACTCTGAGGAAGAGGAGGAGGATGAAGACATCGAGCGCTCCTCGGAGGCTCTCCTGGGCCGAGATCTGGTGCGCGAGTGTCTGGAGAAGGAGCCGGTGGATCGAACCGACGACGACATCGGTAAAGCAGTCGCTCTCGAGAACAGGCTCTCTATAGCCACGTTTACATTTCAGATTTGAGCAAAACTTTTGCCATATTTTCTAAATGTTGATAAAAAAACTATTGCGAGAGTCTTCCCGAATCTCTTCAAAAACGCTACTGGTTATTCCTGATTCTGGATCAGTGAGATCGGCCTGTTTTGTTATTGCGGGAGTCTCTGAAGCTCGTGTGCAGGCTCCGCCCTCTTCTGAACGGAGGCGGAGCTAAACTCATTTGCATTTAACCCTCAGGTGCTCTTCGGTCATTTCTGACTGAAAAATTTTCTGTTTTGAATTTTTAAAAATCACAGCTTCATCGGAATGTTACGAAACTTGGTGACTTTTATGGCATTGGGTATGTGAACACACAAAAAAATTGAGGTCATGATCCGAGCAGGCTAAGTGGTCGTAAAAAATAGTCACACTTGTGCTCTTCGGTCAAAAATGACCGACCCATAGGAAATGAATGGGAAATTGACAAAAACACAAAAACTTTGAGAATTTTTGTGTGTACAATCTACAAATCGGCCATGATGCAGAAAAAAAGTGCTCAGCATTGAAGGGGTGACACTCTAAAATATCAAGAGTGCAAAACAGACATACCCACCCCTACGCACACACACACACACACTTTTATACACAAAAACACCAATAAATTGTGATTAAAGAAATCTGTTTTGAATATTTAAAAATCACTGCTTCTTCAGAAAATTATGAAACTTGGTGACTTTTATGGCATTGGGTTTGTGAACACACAAAAAAATTGAGGTCATGATTCGAGCTATTTAAGTGGTTGTAAAAAAATGAGTCACACTTTTGCTCTTCTGTCAAAAATGACCGACCCATAGGAAATGAATGGGAAATTGACAAAAAAAATGTATGTACAATCGACAAATCGGCCACAATTCTAAAAAAAAAAGTACACCGCAGGAAAGGGGTGACACTCTACAACATCTAGAGTGCAAAACAGACACACCCACCAACACACACACACATACAAACACACTTTTATACACATACACACCAATAAATTTTGATTACAAAAAGTATGTTTTGAATTTTTAAAAATCACAGCTTCATCGCGATGTTACGAAACTTGGTGACTTTTATGGCATTATGTATGTGAACACACAAAAAAATTGAGGTCATGATCCGAGCATGCTAAGTGGTCTTAAAAAAAATAGTCACACTTGTGGTCTTTGGTCAAAAATGACCCCCATAGGAAATGAATGGGAAATTGTAAAAAAAAGGAAAAAAAAAATTGTGAATATTTGTGTTTTGTCATTTTTTTTATAAGAAATAGTTTTTGAGATTGTTTCAACTATATATTCAAATCCACCAACAACAACAAAAAAAAAAATGTGTTCATAAACAGCTGGGGAATTCACATGCCTCTCCATAGAGAGCCATCTAGTGGTTACACCATGATTCTACGCTTTTTCTCTATACTGTAACCAGATGGTGCTAATTTTCTTCAAAAAATATTTTTTTTTTCTGAAGGCCTAGACTCTATATTAAACTAAAATACTGCATTAATATTTTTTTGAAAAAAATAATATATATATAGAAAAAAATATATTTTTCCATGGCAAAAATAAGCCATAAATATTGCATAAATATTAATAAATTCAATTAAATTGTCTCGAAATACTAAATTAAAAAGAATAAATATTATAGAACAAAAATAAATTGCATTGGTTTTACTGGGATGGAGAAAGTTTAATTTTTAGGTGTCCGGTCACTTTTGACCGGGAAGATAACAAGTGTGAAACGAAGAGGACACACACAAAAACTGCGTATTTTTAATGATCTAAGCTCTAATAAATGATCTGGTACTTTGAACTGAAATTTCACACACGCATTCTGGAGACACCAGAGTTATATTACATCCTGTGGAGAGGAGCATAATGTCACCTTTAAATGTTAATGGTTTGATAAAAAATGAGGTTTGTTTGGTTGAATAAATTGCTTTAAAAAGTCTCTCTCTCTCTCTCCCTCTACAGAGCAGCTCCTGGAGTTCATGCATCAGCTTCCAGCTTTCGCGAACATGACCATGTCAGTGCGGAGAGAGTTGTGTCGAGTCATGATGTTCGAGGTGGTGGAACTGGAGGGGACCGTCATTCTTCAGGACAAACAGGAGGTAGTAGAGCCAGTAACTAGCAGACATACTGACCACAAAGCTGTTTTATTGACGTCTTTCCACGGTTCAAACGCTGATTGATTGATTACAAGTTACAAGTAAGTTCTTTGTGGGCGGATCTCGGGCGCTGTCGCTATTATACCGGCGAGATAAATGCGTCCGACGCTAATCTAAACTGTGTTGGTCTGAAGCATAGACTGTAATAAAAGATGGAAGATGGACGACGCCCCTTCGCTCTCTTCCAGTGGTCAGAACTGAAGCCGCCAGTGTCTCGATTTGGCGCTGACATCTTGGGACTTCAGTCTGTGCCGAAGCGATCTCGGGACCAGACCTGCGCAGTCGTGAGCAGGAAGTAAAGCCGCGAAATCAAGGCCCCGCCCTCATTCTCGCAGAATCAATCACAAGAACACGCTCTGGCACTTTTAAAAAAATTAATTAGATCGTCCTCCGAAGATCCCGGAAAATGTCTGTTGGTGCTTCAGTGACGAACCTGTCAATCACAGCTGTCAATCATGACGTCAAACCACCGCATCAAATAACTAACTAAAAACTAAATTATGTTAAAAACAAACACTTGAAATTACATCAGCGTGATAAATACTTCAGTAAATGACAGAAACCATCAAGTGGAAAGCCGATATTTGAAGCGTAATTTAAAGGGTTAGTTCACCCAAAAATGAAAATTCTGTCAGTATTTACCTCACCCTCATGTTGTTCCAACCCCGTAAGACCTTCGTTCATCTTCGCAACACAAATTAAGATATTTAAGATATTAAGATCGCTCCTGCATACTAGTCCATAGGCTTCTTGAGGGAATGACTCTTGCTGGCATCGACAAGTCATTAAAGACATCGTTAAAATAGTCCAAGTGACTACAGGGGCTCAATCTTAACTTTATCAAACGACGAGAACACTTTTGTGCGCAAAAAAACAACAAAAATAACGACTTTATTTCAACTGTTCGTTTATTTCTCCCTCTGCGCGAGTCAGGTTACTAGTTTAATAGCGTAAGCTTCTGTTATTGTACGTCACACGCATCACACACATGACCAGCGTCGGCCAATAGTGAGCCTACGTGTGACGTAGCTTTACGCAATCACACTACGTTAACTGACTTACAGGCTCATGGAGAAGGAAGTGAATAGTTGAAATAAAGTCGTTATTTTTGTTTGTTTTTTGCACACAAAAAGTGTTCTCGTCGTTTGATAAAGTTAAAATTGAGCCCCTGTAGTCACTTGGACTATTTTAACGATGTCTTTAATGACTTTTCGGGGCCAGCAAATGTCATTCCCTCAAGAAGCCTATGGACTTAAATATCATAATTTGTGTTCCGAAGATGAACGAAGGTCTTACGGGGTTGGAACAACATGAGGGTGAGTAAATACTGACAGAATTTTCATTTTTGGCTGAACTAACCCTTTAATGGTTTAGTTGGTCTAAATGAATGACCTATACTAGGACCGCGATCAAGAAGTTTTGGCTTCACTTTTCAGGGCTACATTATGGCCACGCGTGCACCCTTAATACAGCGTCTGAATAACGCACGACTTTAGACTGGGTTTGTCACGGGACACGCCTCCTCTTTCCCTGAACCGCCCCGCGAGCGCACGTTCATTTCCTAATTCGCTGTGCGTCGAGTGCAAAATAGGAATGATACACGCGTCATGTAAAAGTCACCGCGCTGGGTGCGAGATAGGGCCCACCAACACACACTTATTGAGTGAAATTAAGTATAAAAGTGACAGAAATTGATATGCTGAAAATAGATTTTGGGATTTAAGAATCGATATTGATCACAAACGATGCATTAATAATTGAAACCCAGCCTGTGCTCTTCCTGATGCCCAGCTTGCACTGAGAAACACTCCTGCATCCTGCGTCGGTTAAGACTGAAGAAACTGTTCCTGTCCACTACAGCCCGACCGATAATGGATTTTGAAGGCCGATACCGATTTTAAAATCTGGTATTCCGATATATCGGACGATATTTTTTTTATTTCAGAAACGCGCATCAAAACATTAACAGATTTTCCTAACATAAGTTATTTGTAGTTATTTATGAGTTTTAACTAAAATAATATGATAATGCATTTTATAAAGAAACTTGTTTTTTTTATTGTCACACAGAACAGACGGATGATAGCGGCATTAGCTAGCTTTGTGGTCTATGATGAGCCATGATTTAGCAATGGATTACGTCATACTGCAAATTGTAAATCATACATTTTCAATATAACAGGCCAAGAGAGATGATGCGTCTCATTGCTGTAACGGTCACGCGCTATTAAAGAAATACTTCAGTCACATTGTCAAAAGTTAAAAGGACAGTCAATCGACTACTGTAACAACGTAACGTAATTATTACTAGCTAGTTTCGCTTCACTCTCGACTTATTTAACAGCAAAACTGGACACGATAGTCAAATGTTGTCCTGCTTATTTGAGTCAAGAGAACTGATGGGGATGATCTTTTAATTGTTATTTAAGCGATGTATGTCTCGTGACCAACTCAACGAGTGTTGCCGACAGGAACGGTGTAGAGTGCCCTCTGGTGGATAAACCATACAACTCCAACACTCATGACATGGTTCAAGCGTCTTTCGTCCGTTTTTATTTTATTTTTGAAACATTCATTTATCGGCCATTATAACTGCCGATACCGATAGTTTAGAAAATGCCTAATATCGGCCTGCCTATACATCGGTCTGGCTCTACTGTCCACAATACAAGCCAAGTCTGAATGCTGTGAATTGTTTCAGTGATGACAAGTCAGAGCACTGTGTGTGTGTGTGTGTGTGTGTGTGTTTGAGCGGTTTTAAAAGAGTGCGTGCAGTCTGATGGATCACAAGAACACACTGTGAAGCACGTCATAAATGAGTTTGAAGGAGACGCTCACATTGATCAACAGTGTGTGTGTGTGTGTGTGTGTGTGGGCTACAGTGAAGGTCAACAAGACACTCTTTCTTAATGAGAGAAGAGAGAGACGGAAACGCAAAGAGTGACTCAAAGGTCAAGATATTTAACCAGATTCACTTTAGACACACACACACACACACAGGATGATCTATGTGTGCTCTGTTGAGTTTGCAGCTGAACACAGGATGATCTAAGTGTGCTCTGTTGTGTTTGCAGCTGAACACGTGGTACGTGATCCTGAACGGGTGTGTGGAGATCAGTTATGGAGAGGGAAGAGCAGAGATGCTGTGTATGGGCAACAGCTTCGGCATCTCTCCGTCTCTCGACACACAGTTCATGAGCGGCCTCGTGTGCACCAAAGCCGACGACAGCCAGGTGAGCTCTCACGCCGCGAGCTAAAGCTAAGCGAAACATGCCTCGCCACAGCAGACGACAGCCGAGCTCTCACGCGCGAGCGAAACATGCCTCGCCACAGCAGGAGATCATGACACGAAACGCAGAAGTTATGAGATACTTCCGGGTGTCCACTTCTGTTCCTGAAGTCCATCAAATTATCACATACTATCATTATGATCAAAAATAAAGAGAGATGACATACAAATGAGATAAAATCCAAAATTATTCAATAAAATGTTGAAATTGCTGTCATAATTATGATAAAGTAAAAATTATTAGTGTGTGTCATTTCTGATTATTAGGGCCACAAATCTCCAGTTTAGTCAGTTTTTCTCTATTTCTCTCTGAGAATATCAAATATTGGGGGTCATTTCTGATTATTAGGGCCTCAAATCTCCAGTTTAGTCAGTTTTTCTCCATATCTCTCTGAGAATATCAATATTGGGGGTAATTTCTGATATTTGGGGTCATTTCTGATTATTAGGGCCACAAATCTCCAGTTTAGTCAGTTTTTCTCTATTTCTCTCTGAGAATATCAAATATTGGGGGTAATTTCTGATATTTGGGGTCATTCCTGATTATTAGGGCCACAAATCTCCAGTTTAGTCAGTTTTTCTCTATTTCTCTCTGAGAATATCAAATATTGGGGGTCATTCCTGATTATTAGGGCCACAAATCTCCAGTTTAGTCAGTTTTTCTCCATATCTCTCTGAGAATATCAAATATTGGGGGTAATTTCTGATATTTGGGGTCATTTCTGATTATTAGGGCCACAAATCTCCAGTTTAGTCAGTTTTTCTCTATTTCTCTCTGAGAATATCAAATATTGGGGGTAATTTCTGATATTTGGGGTCATTCCTGATTATTAGGGCCACAAATCTCCAGTTTAGTCAGTTTTTCTCTATTTCTCTCTGAGAATATCAAATATTGGGGGTAATTTCTGATATTTGGGGTCATTCCTGATTATTAGGGCCTCAAATCTCCAGTTTAGTCAGTTTTTCTTTATTTCTGTCTGAGAATATCAAATATTGGGGGTAATTTCTGATATTTGGGGTCATTCCTGATTATTAGGGCCTCAAATCTCCAGTTTAGTCAGTTTTTCTTTATTTCTGTCTGAGAATATCAAATATTGGGGGTAATTTCTGATATTTGGGGTCATTCCTGATTATTAGGGCCTCAAATCTCCAGTTTAGTCAGTTTTTCTTTTATTTCTGTCTGAGAATATCAAATATTGGGGGTAATTTCTGATATTTGGGGTCATTCCTGATTATTAGGGCCACAAATCTCCAGTTTAGTCAGTTTTTCTCTATTTCTCTCTGAGAATATCAAATATTGGGGGTAATTTCTGATATTTGGGGTCATTCCTGATTATTAGGGCCTCAAATCTCCAGTTTAGTCAGTTTTTCTCTATTTCTTTCTGAGAATATCAAATATTGTGGGTAATTTCTGATATTTGGGGTCATTCCTGATTATTAGGGCCTCAAATCTCCAGTTTAGTCAGTTTTTCTTTATTTCTGTCTGAGAATATCAAATATTGGGGGTAATTTCTGATATTTGGGGTCATTCCTGATTATTAGGGCCACACATCTCCAGTTTAGTCAGTTTTTCTTTATTTCTGTCTGAGAATATCAAATATTGGGGGTAATTTCTGATATTTGGGGTCATTCCTGATTATTAGGGCCACACATCTCCAGTTTAGTCAGTTTTTCTTTATTTCTGTCTGAGAATATCAAATATTGGGGGTAATTTCTGATATTTGGGGTCATTCCTGATTATTAGGGCCTCAAATCTCCAGTTTAGTCAGTTTTTCTCTGAGAATATCAAATATTGGGGGTAATTTCTGATATTTGGGGTCATTCCTGATTATTAGGGCCTCAAATCTCCAGTTTAGTCAGTTTTTCTCTATTTCTCTCTGAGAATATCAAATATTGGGGATCATTCCTGATTATTATGGCCACAAGTCTCCAGTTTAGTTAGTTTTTCTCTGAGAATATCAAATATTGGGGGTAATTTCTGATATTTGGGGTCATTCCTGATTATTAGGGCCTCAAATCTCCAGTTTAGTCAGTTTTTCTCTATTTCTGTCTGAGAATATCAAATATTGGGGGTAATTTCTGATATTTGGGGTCATTCCTGATTATTAGGGCCACAAATCTCCAGTTTAGTCAGTTTTTCTCTGAGAATATCAAATATTGGGGATCATTCCTGATTATTATGGCCACAAGTCTCCAGTTTAGTTAGTTTTTCTCTGAGAATATCAAATATTGGGGGTAATTTCTGATATTTGGGGTCATCCTGATTATTAGGGCCACAAATCTCCAGTTTAGTCAGTTTTTCTCTGAGAATATCAAATAGTGGGGATCATTTCTGATTATTAGGGCCTCAAATCTCCAGTTTAGTCAGTTTTTCTCTATTTCTGTCTGAGAATATCAAATATTTGGGGTAATTTCTGATATTTGGGGTCATTCCTGATTATTAGGGCCACAAATCTCCAGTTTAGTCAGTTTTTCTCTATTTCTGTCTGAGAATATCAAATATTGGGGGTAACTTCTGATATTTGGGGTCATTCCTGATTATTAGGGCCACAAATCTCCAGTTTAGTCAGTTTTTCTCTATTTCTGTCTGAGAATATCAAATATTGGGGGTAATTTCTGATATTTGGGGTCATTCCTGATTATTAGGGCCACAAATCTCCAGTTTAGTCAGTTTTTCTCTATTTCTGTCTGAGAATATCAAATATTGGGGATCATTCCTGATTATTATGGCCACAAGTCTCCAGTTTAGTTAGTTTTTCTCTGAGAATATCAAATATTGGGGGTAATTTCTGATATTTGGGGTCATTTCTGATTATTAGGGCCTCAAATCTCCAGTTTAGTCAGTTTTTCTCTGAGAATATCAAATAGTGGGGATCATTTCTGATTATTAGGGCCTCAAATCTCCAGTTTAGTCAGTTTTTCTCTATTTCTGTCTGAGAATATCAAATATTGGGGGTCATTTCTGATATTTGGGGTCATCCTGATTATTAGGGCCACAAATCTCCAGTTTAGTCAGTTTTTCTCCATATCTCTCTGAGAATATCAAATATTGGGGGTCTGACGGGACTCTCTGATGTCTGTGGTGTTTCCGTCCCTCACACTGTTATCTCTGCCGGTCATGAAGTGTCGTGGTCAGGGTCCGAATGTAAAAGCCTCCTTATATAGCAGCGCTGCTGATTCCTCAAAATAAAGACTCCACCTCAACTTCCTCTAACGCCGTGAACCCTGCGCTCGCTCTCACACATACACACACACACGTCGCACTCATGAGCTGGCGCTGTGATAGTGTGTGTTATCCATGTCTGGTTCAGACTAACCTCCTGCGCTACTCTCAGTTCATCGCTCTTCCTCATGTTGTTGTTGATCAGTTTGTGTGCGTCGCTCAAGAGGACTACTGTCGCATCCTCAACCATGTGGAGAAGAACACACACAAGGTGGAGGAGGAGGGCGAGATCGTGATGGTGAAGGAGCACCGCGAGCTCGACCGCAGCGGCACCAGGAAGGGCCACATCGTCATCAAGGTGAGGATTCATCATTATCTTCATGCGTTCTGGCGGTTCAGTTATTCAGTGTTGCGTTTCCCCGAAAGCATCGTTCGCCAACTATAGACACAAGCTCCTATCATCAGTTCAACGAGTCTGAGTTTCCCGAAACCATCGTTCCAACAAACATCTCAGAGGTGTGTGTGTGAGCGACAGATCTTGAGCAGATCTCGAGTTTCTAGTGTTCATGACATGTGACTCGATAAATCCTGATCTTGAGCAAAATAAGCAAGCTGACATTCAGTGCAACCTGTGTCTTTCATTTAGCACACACACACACACACACACACGCGTCATTTACGTCTTTGAGTTTGAGAGATTTAAAGTTTCAGATTTAAAGTGATCAAGGTCAAGATCACAATGAGGAAGTCATTACTAATGTAGGATCTTCATTTTAATGTCACTGTGGCCAAAAAAACAACAACAATGAACAAAACGCATCACAAGATGACCCTTAATCACACCAACCCAAGGTTTAAAACGACTTAAGAGTGAACTAACTTCATCTGGACAATAGCTGTATTCTAGATCTGCTGTAAAGCCTAAATCTCTGTAATCTCCACTGTAAAGGAAACTCTATACTGTTAAAACGCTGTATAAATGAAGGAGACTTGACTTGACTATACAAAACCATTGTTTGTTGTTATGCACTGTCAGTTTTGGGCTGTTTTATGAAACAACAACAACATCCACAATCCAAATTTAAGTGTTTATTTTATTGCACTTTTGTCTATTTGTGACTGTAGAATTCATAAGGTTAGAAATCTCCACTTACACCAAACCTTACAGTGTTATTCCAATCTATATTCTGATTTACATTATATTCCTAAAAACATGGTGAAAAGCATTTTTTCCTCTGATTTATCAAAAATGAAAGGAGAATTTTGAACCTGGCTTCATCCAATGCAAGTTCCTGTTCTGGATATGTATGCACATGAGAGCATATTTAATTAGATAGTGCCTCATTTGCATATTTGAACATTTCACAAAAATGATTTAATGATTTGAATGTCTTTTCTGATTGGCTGTAAACGAGGTGTTCAGGGTCAGATCGTATCAGAGCAGCTTTTGTAGTTTGTGTCTAGAAGAAAAGTCCAGCTTAAGAAAGTTCAGTGATGGTTCATTTCTGTTTTTTGAGCATTTTTTATCTTTGTTTACTTGCAAAGACGAGCAGTAAATGTGCGTCTCTTGATGTGTGTGTGTGTGGAGGTGATCGCTTCTAGATATTTAGTTTGTCGTTTAGTTCACATGCGAGACGAATCTGAACATTTATAGGTTTGTTGGGTCACTGGACACAAGTCGAACTAAATAATAATAAAATAAAATATGAACCCACAAATATAGGATTTTCTCCTGGACAGAAAGACTTTTGTTTATTTAATATTTTCATCTTGGTTTCAGTCCTGGGTCCGGTGTGAAGTCCCACTCAGGCATTTACTCTTAGTGAACTATACTTGTGTAGATGTATCCAGTTGTTGGTGAATAAAACCGTTATGTCCCAATAAGACAATTGGTCCTTTTAGGTCTCAAAACTTGAAATTTATTAAATGTGTGTGTGTGAATACCGATATTATCACTGAAATTACAATGGCCCTATCTCCAGTCTGATGTCATCCTAATCCCCAGGGACGTCTTTATTTTTCAAACAGTATTTCATGTGCAGTGTGTGTGTACAGAAATAAAACATGCCCAACTTGAAGTTGGACGCCGCTCCAAGGCCCTCTGGGAAAATCTGTGGAAAATAAAACACACGTAGATAGATACAAGCTCATTGAAAGTGCTTGAATTTATTTTGTGCAAGTAGTTTTCTGGAAAAAACGTGTTATTCCACCACTTTGTGGCCTATGCGCACTAGCATACTTGATTCATGCTAATTAGTATGTGCATTTACGCGTCACGTCGTGTTTCCCGCGTGAGGTGCTTTGTGTTGTGCATGACGTTCACACACTCACTAAACTACTACTACGATACC